ATTTCCCCCGCACCGTGCAAAGCGGGTCTTCAAGGGCAAGGCACAGGGAAGCTACTGGCCATCTCTGATTTTCTGAGTGAAGGAGACTGTTCTCACTTGTCTGGCAAGAGTGTAGGTGCTTCATACAACAGATGCCTTCGGGGAGGATTAGTTACCTGATGGCATTGGTGTGAGGAAATAGTGTTGGACTGAGCATCAAGGGAACTGGGTTCTAGTCCCAGCTCTGTCACTAACTTGGCTTGTGAGTGCTACCAAGAGATTTTTGACTAAGTCAGAAAAAAACTTCCCAACAGTTATTCAGTAAATATTTGAGTGCCTGCCATGTGCCAGACACTGTGCTAGTTGCTAGGGGACACACATTAACTTCACTGGTTGAGAACTGATTTCAGGCCTCCTGTGTGGCAGAAAAGAATTCTACCATGGAAGCAGTTGGGTTGGACAGATTAGGAAATAATGAGGTTTTTTTCCCTCAGACTTGGTCAAAAATATCAACTGGACCACTGTTAGTACAGATCCTGTTGATGGGGATGACTTTGTAGGTCTTCCTGCTCTGCAATTCTGTAATCCCTGACTTTGGTCCCTTGGCCTTGGTATTCACATCTGCGAAATAAGCTGGTGATTCCAGTGGATCTTTAGGCCCTGCTCAGCTCTTCCATTCTGTGATCCTGCTTCCATGAGATATGACCTGGATGTCTGGATCTCACATTTCTTTACCCTTAACCACATTCATGAACTCTTAGGGCTGGGATGTCTTAGACACCGTTACTCCTGTTACAGGACCCATGGCAGACCTCAGCACTCCTTCTGGCTGAGTCCAAAGCCTCCTAACCTTGAGTGGGGCTTTGCCAGGACCCGACTCCTTGTCTGATCCCTTGTTAGAGCACCGCCAGCGCCGTGCGGGAACTGGTCATCCAGCGGCTGGGTCTGGTGAGGAGTCTGTGTGAGACCGAGGAGCAGCGGTTGCTGGAGCGCGTGCATGGCGAAGAGGAGCGGGCCCACCAGAGTATCCTGACGCAGCGAGTGCACTGGGCTGAGGCACTCCAGAAGCTCGACGCCATCCGCACCAGCCTGGTGGACATGCTCACCCACGTGGATGACCTCCAGCTGATTGTAAGTCGGGCATGGGCGAGGGCATGACCAGTTGGCCGGTCTCTCCAAAAAATCTGAAAACATCGAGAACGCTTATTGATAGGAGGTGGATAGATAATAATAATTTGGAGCAGGGGATGAGACAGGGGAATAAAATTATGCAGATTTTTTTTTCTGCACCCAATAAGTATTCTTTTAATAGTGAGCAAATATTTACTGAGTACTTACTATGTGCTCAGCATTGTGCTGTGGGATGGAGTTACAAGATACAGCTGTCAGTGACTCACAGCCTTATGGAGGAGACAAATACAAAAACTGATAATTAGCGTATGGAGGGATATGTGCTGTGGTATATAACATTCCTGGGATCTGGGGACCCCACAAGCCAAACTTGGGGGAGGGGGTGGTGGTCAGGGAAGGCTTCCTGGTTGAAGTGACTTAGAAGCTGATGCCTGAAAGATAAGAGTTGCAGCTATGTTAAAGGAAGTGGGGAGGTGGTGAGAGTTTTGAAGCACACAGAGAGAACTCTGCATTTGGGAGAGCTGACAAGGGTCCCATATGAAGATATAGAGCTCATCTTTAATCCTACCACCTGGAAATTACCGTGATTAATATTTTGGTACACATCCTTTCAAAGTATTTTATGTAGATTTGCAGATACCTGCAGTTTTAAGGGACAGCATGACATCTGAATAAATTTGCCAAGCAGAGAAGTGAGAATGTAGAACAACTGAACTGTCCCATTGCAATTCAAGTAGGACAGTTTCCATGACTGTCCTAGATTGTGCATTCATTCAGTCACACAGCTTCCACGTACAGAGCACATTCTGTCCCAAACACTGGGACAGTCACAATAGAAGATTCAAAAAGAGTCCCAGCCATCTAGTTGCTGACAATCTTGATGGGGGATGAAATGTTGGGTAAATATGTGATTATTCTGAAGTGTAGTTGAGGGAAACTCAGGACACCATGGGGAAAAGGGACAGTGATTCATTATGAGTGTGCAGAATGGGGGAAGTATGTGAAGAACTGTACAAGCTTTGTGCTATGTCTTAAAGAAGGAGTAAATTTTTTTATTCTGGGGCCTCTGTTCACATGGAGCCCTCCACGCCAGTTGCATATATTTGTGTCTTGACTGCCTGCCTGCTAGGATTCTGGTGCTAAGCCTAACTCTATTTTCTTTTCTCACAGCAGAAGGAGCAAGAGATTTTTGAGAGGTGAGTATGGCTCAGTAATTTGCTTGGGCAGTCACAGAAACCATGGCCCTTAGGCCTCTACTTAGTTCATTGCATTCAGGCCCTGCTGCTCCTGGGAGAAAGCCAAGGGCATGCAGCTGGGTGGCTTCTCTGGAGCCAGGCTCGATGGACAGGGGTCTTCCTGCCCCTTGCTTGGAGAACTGCTTTAGACCCGTGTAGAAAGGCAGTGAAATAAACACTTATTATTCAGGGGCCTGCCAGGGGCTTTCTAACATTATGTTATTAAAAACTGTACAGTCACCCTGTTGGAAGGTTTTACACCCCCATCTAGAGATGAGAATGCTGAGGCTTAAAGAGGGGAAGGGACTTGCCTAAGCTTCAGAGCTAGGACTGGGACCCACACCTGACACCTGTCTCAATACTGTCTTCTCTACCTCACTTCCCTTTCTCTGATGAAAGAATCTTTGAAACAAATCTTCATTACCATTCAAAATTTGCATTTTTAATTATTCAATAATAAAAGAATTTCACCAGGTCCTACCTGGGTCCCCAAAGTCTGAGAACCAAGAGCCTGAGAAAGTAGCCATGAAGATGTAATTTGCCAGGCAAAGAATTAAATTTGTAATCTTCCATGCAAGATTTCAGATCTGTATTTAGAAAGCACAGCCCATTCTTCTTATCTATTTTTGTATTGAAGTCTCAATAGCAATACATGTGTATGAGAGAAGTAAAAAAATATTCCACCAATGTAGAACTATTAAAATTTAAAATGAGTCACCCCTTTCCAATCCCGTTCCCTAGAGGCGATCAATTTTAACAGATAGGTGTATTTGGGACTTTCCTATATATAGTCAGAGGAGAATATGCAGGTTGGGTTCCCCCCACTTTAAAATTTTAAAAAAAAAATGTTTTTTAAACACTGATGGGATCATTTTATACTTTCTGTTCGTTACTTTACCTTATCAGGCTTTCTTGGAATCTTTCCATGTCAGTACATGTAGACTTACCTCACTTCTTGGAAAGTCTGAGAAATATTCCATGGTGTAGATGCACCCACATTTCATTTTACTGTCTTCTTTTAATGTGTGTTTGGCTTGTTCCTACTTTTTGCATCCTATAACCTTTCCACACTTCCATTAGTCTTCTCTTTCTCCTTTATCTTCACCATCTTCCTCCAACACTGTCTTCAATATCAGGCTGATGTGACTTTTGAAAACAATTTTGATCTTCAATTTTTTTTTGTTTTGAAATATTTCACACTTATGGGAAAGTTGAAAAAATAGTATAATGAGCTTCACCTAGAAAAACTAATTGTTAACATTTTACCAGATTTGCTCTTTCCCACTCCTTTTTTTATTATCTATTTATCAAGTGTGTATATTAAAAACTTATTTTTTTTTGACCTATTTGAGAGTAAGTTGCAGAAAGCATCACCTTTTATCCCTAAATACTTCAGCATTTCTGTCCTAAGAACAAAGACATTCTCCTACATAACCACAGTATAATTACCAAGTCCAGAAGTTTAATGTTGAGATAATACCATTATCTAATATACAGCCCATATTCAAGTGTCGCCAATTATGTCCACAAAGTTCTTAACAGTGTTTGGTGTTTTGTTTTGTTTTGTTTTGTTTTTTTTCCTGATACATTTAGTCTTTTATTCCAGTGGAATTGTTCCTTAGCCTTTCTCTTGTTTTTTTTTCTTTCTTTCTTTTTTTTTTTTTATATTTCTAATGAGTCTAGGACTGTCGTTTTATCGAATATTCCTCAATTTGAGTTCATCTGATTAGGTTCATGGTATACATTCTTGGCAAGAATATATCATAAGTGATGTATCCTCAGTCTATTAAATCAGGGGGCACATGATGTCACTTTGTCCCATTATCAGGGATACTAATTTTGATCACTAAGATAAAGTGGTGCCTACCAGGTTTCTTCTTCGTTATATAATTATATCTTCCCTTTTGTAATTACTAAGCAATTTGAGGAGATTTTTGTGTATGTGTGTAAATAGCCTGTTTACCTTCAAACTTTCATCTAATAGTTTTAGCATCGATTGATGCTAAATTCCTTCCTGAATTATTCATTTATTTATTTGCTTGTTTGTTCATTCACTTATTTAGGATCAACATAAACTCATGGGTTCTTAGTTTACTTAGTGCATTATAATCTATTATACTATTATTAATTTTGATCTTCAAACTGTCCTAGGTTTGGTCAGTAGGGGTCCCTTCAAGCTGTATCCGGTATCCTTTGACAAGTCCCCATCATTCTTTGAGCATTTTCTTGCATTCTGGAACAACAAGATGTCCCAGGCTCAATTTGTTCTTTTCCTGCCTCAGACCTGGATTCAGCTATTTCTCCAGAGGATCTCGGTTCTTTTTAGTGGGGAATAATATATAGAAACCAAAATCCAGACATTAGCTGTGCATTGCTACTGATGTGTCATTGCTTCCATGCCTCTTCAATGGACAGCAGACAGAGCTGGGAAATTTGTGTGTGATCCATTTATTCATGAGTTTGTATCACAACTTCTAATTTCGGTGGAACACCACAGCATTTTTCCTTTCCCTTCTCTCTTTCTCTGTTTATACCTTTATTCTTTCACAGTGAAAACCCAGCTCCCAACAACAGTGATATAGTTATTCATTTGTTTAGTCTTACAATACACACAAAGTTGTTTGAGAATTGCTAAACTCATACTACTATTAACAAACCTATTAGTAGAGGTCAAGATTTGTTTGTAGTTCTTTGTGCCTTTAGGTTGAGGGTATGTGCTCTCAAAGTACCGTGTTCAAAAGCGTTGTCAAGCCCCTTCTAGCCGGGAACTCACTTGCCTGAGAAATGTCTTTGTCGGCTCCGATTTTGTTGCCATGTCCCCGTCTGGGCTCAGCTCTGGCCTGTTATGGCAAGAGGACCTGCTGGACAGACCAGGCATTCTGTTTCCAGCCAGCACCCTGCTGTGTTTAAACCCCAATTCACTCCCACTCCTTTGGAGTCATGAGTTTTCTCTTCTGTACCATGAAGTACCTGGATCAACTGGTTCTCTAGATTCAAGTGTCTACAATCAGCCTCATATTTGCCCTGGGATGACAGTTTAGCCCTGCTGACATTGGCTCCTCTTTCCTCTTCAACTAAGAGCTGGGGCTCCTCCAAACCCAGCCTCAGGGCTTTGAGAAGCTGGCAACAGACCCGCTGTTGTCCACAAAGAGCCTTTGTTACTAGAGCCCACTCTTGGCTTTTCTAGGGCTCTGCTCACCTTGTTCCTCCCAAGCCAGTAGAGTAAGAGATAGTCTTGCAAAGAGCTGGCACCCATGAGGAAACGTGCCCTACCTTTCTCCCTGTTCCTTTATTAATGGGCAGAGCCATGAGATTTGGGGAGGAGAGTGTGTGTTCTCAGAACTGCTGCCTGATCTCAAGGTCTGCAAAGCTCTGTGTTGAAACCTCACTTTGCTCTACATCCCTTTGAGATTTCACTTCAGGTCAAGGGAAGAATTATGTTGAACGTAGTCTGTACTCTAGCCTGGCTTTGTTCTCTTTTTGCATGGAGGCAGGACTTGAATCTAGCTCCCCTTTTTAGCTGAGTGCCTTCTAGAAATCTCTGTTATCTCCTGTCAAATGGGTAACAACTATCTCCCAAGTTATACCAAAGATGCTGTGAGATTCTGCACAGAAAACAGCAAGCCCAGAGCCTGGCTGCTTAATAAATGGCAATTCTTCTTGTTCCCAGATTCTCTCTCCAGCCAAATCCAGGGTCCACTGTGAACTGAGGAGAGGTGGTTATTGGGAGCAAAGTGCTATGAATAATTTATGGTTGGGGAAATAACTGATAGTCCCTTCCAATGTGATCTCGCAGGGGCGTTTGCATTTTAAGATCAGAGAAACTGGCTGTACCTTCTGATTAAATCAAGCGTAACATAACTGCTGCAGTAGGTTTTGGGGGGAGGCGAGATTTTCTCTGGGCAGCATAGTGAAGTAGAAAGACTGCCGCAGAGGTCCAAGTCGCCCAGGTCCTAGTCCCAGCTCTGCTGCTCACTTACTAGAGACACTGACGGGTTGTTTCCCCCACAGAGCACACCAACTCCATGTCCTAATGCACCGGACATTTACCTGCATGTAAATTGTCTGCCTTATTGGAATTGAGGCTCCTTGGGGTGGGAGAAGGTGGGAGGAATGTCCACCTTCCCTTTTGGCTCCAGTCCCCGTTAGGGTGCTCCTGTGTGGGGCCTGGGAGCAATTTTGGGAAAGGGATTTTCCTCCTGTCTTTCTCCCATCACCCTGTATTGATCCAGATACACTTCCAGAACCTTATTCAATCTGTCTTCTTTTTTTTTTTTTTTTTTTCTGTATAAGGACCGAGGAAGCAGAGGGCATTTTGGATCCACAAGAGTCAAAAAAGTTAAATTTTAATGAGAAGTGTGCCCGGAGCCCACTACTGACCCAACTCTGGGCGACAGCAGTTTTCGGGTCCCTCTCAGGTTAGCAGCTGCTAGAGCCCAGCACCAGTTGAAGCAGCTGGGCTTCTGTCTGTCTGTCTGTCTGTCTGTCTGTCTATGATTTGCAATGGGGTCAACACTGGGGATCAGTGCATGTGGGATGGTAGCTTAAACAACCAGTTTAAACTGGCTTAAACAACCAGTGTAAGCTACCATCCCACATGCACTGATCCCCAGTGTTGGATGCAGGCTTGTTAGTGGAGCCGAGGTTCTGAACAGGCCTGGAGCACCTGGGCCAGGTCCTTCTTGTTTCCAGACCAATCCACTCTGTGGTTGAGTCTAAGATAAATCTTGTTTCTATAAATCATGACTTCCTCATGTCCTGCCCTGCTGGGACAGTTCAGTATTATTTCTTGGACAACTAGTTTCTGTTTAAGAAGATAAAATAAATGGCCAACAGGAGAGCATCTGGAATGAGAATTAAGCTGCCTGGATTCACCTCCCTTAACAAACAGTGACTCAGGCTGCCTGTGGGCCTGGCCTTGTGCTGCGTGCCAGGGCCACGGAGGTGAACGTCACATGGTCTCCCAACTCCATGAATTCCCACTTAATGTGGGGGTTCTCAAAGCAGGCTTCCCCTAAGCTGGATGGAAGCTTCTATACTTCCAGTTGCGGTATTTGCACAATTCACAGAAAAGTTAGGTTAATTAATAGATTGATTTTTTCCCCCTCAATTTTAATCCTCCCTTTCCCCAGCCCCTGTTATCCTTAAAATGTTAGTACAAGCTAGAGCTTGTCTTCTCTAGAATCTGGTATCAGTGCCTGATTTACCAGCAGTTCCATTTAGTTGTTGGAAACTGCATATCTGATGCTTCCTAGCTTCCAGGGACCATGTCCCTGGGACAAGTCTGATCTGGAAGCCACAAATTTGCACAACTGGTATGCAGTAGGATTACTGCTAGACGCTAGATGTAGGAACAAAATGCTGGGTCTTAATTATGCCCTTGCCACCAACTTGTGTGACCTTGGGCAACTTGCTTCTCTTCTCTGGGCCTTATTTCTATCAGAGTTTACAGATGAGGGTCTTAGATAACAATAACTACTGTTGTCGCCACAATTTATTGAGCACATGTTATTGCTATGCACTTTCCATGTATCGTCCCATTTGATCCTCATGTCCACCCTGTGGGAAGACCTACTTTGATCCCCATTTTACAGATGAGGAAACTGAGGCTCAGCGAGAGTAAATGGCTTGTCTTAGGTCACACTGCCAGTAAATGGTAAAGAAGCCCTTTGCTACCTGGCAGGACCAATGTAGGGCTGAGGGTGGACCTTGGGCAACTCTGAGAATTCTTTCTGACAGGCACAGAGGATGTGCGTATCGACGAGAAGACTGTCAGTCCCTTCCTGCAATTGTCGGATGATCGAAGGACCCTGACCTTCAATGCTAAGAAGTCCAAGTCCCGTGCAGATGGCCCAGAGCGCTTTGACCACTGGCCCAATGCCCTGGCCACCACCTCCTTCCTGGCTGGGATGCACGTCTGGATGGTGAACGTGCAGAACAGTTGTGCCTATAAGGTGGGCGTGGCCTTAGGCCAGCTGCCCCGCAAGGGTTCTGGCAGTGACTCTCGTCTGGGCCACAACACCTTCTCTTGGGTCTTCTCCCGCTACGACCAGGAGTTTTGTTTCTCACACAACGGCCAGCACGAGCCCCTGGGGCTGCTGCGTTGCCCAGCCCAGCTGGGCGTGCTGCTGGACTTGCAGGCCCAGGAGCTACTGTTCTACGAACCAGCCTCGGGCATGGTGCTCCACACCCACCGCGCGTGCTTCCCTGGGCCCCTCTTCCCGGTCTTCGCTGTGGCTGACCAGACCATTTCCGTCGTCCACTGACCTTTGGCCCAGATCTGCCTCCCCACTACCCTTTTAGACCACATTTCTACCCAGCGTCCTCTTCCCAAATGTTGCCTATGCCCACTGGGCAGCTTAAGGAGGGGTAGGGATCCGTTTCAGATCTGGTACAACCGTTAAGTGCTGGGTATCTGTGGGGAGCTTGCTACTCCCTGGCTTTAGTCTCCCAAATCCACCCTCTGAGGGGGTCTTGTTCACCACTTTATCTCTGGCATCCAGCACGGTGCCTGGTGAGTGTGCAGTAAATGTTTGGTGAGCGGGTAGGTGGATGGATGGATGGGTAGGTGGGTGGATGGGTGCATGGTCGACTCTTCTGAGGGCCTGTCTTTCAGGCCCCTGCCCCAGCTTCGAGCACACAGAAGTGGTTCTCTGGTAGAACAGCCTGTGTCGGAAACCCTTTCATCCCCTCAATTCAGTGCTTCTCAGTCCTTTTCATGACATGGCACATAGAGAAAATATTTTTCTAGCACACGAGGACAACCTGGAAGGGATTTAGAACTCCTGCCAGGCTGTTCCTAGTCAGAGGACTCTGGCCTTGGGGAGCTGTGCCCTCTCCCAGGCCTGCCCGGCTGCTCAAAAATCAGAGGATCCCACCATGGTGACTGGGGTGAACTCCTGCCCCCGCCGACCCTCACCGCCTGCAGCTGATGAGTACCCCACCCGAAGGCCCCTTCTGACATAATGTAGAGACCTGAGGGCCTCAGGCCAGAAAGAGCTAGAGGAGAAAGAGGGCCGGCCTTAAGGAACGTGGACCTTATTAAAGGTTTTAAAACACTGAAAAGTTTCTTCAATGTTCTTTGTTGGTCACTGGGCAAATCCCCCAAGTGGCAGCTCAGATCTAGAGGTACATTTGCTGGGAAATCGATGTCTTCTTCACCTGCATACACAGCAGAGCGCCTGGAGATGGTTCTGTGCCCTGCTCCACTGGGGCCACAGGCCAGTGTTTTCCTGTTCTCCAAGGAGAGCACATTAGAATAGTGGTCCTCACATTTTTTGTTTCTTCAGGGACCACAGTTCAAAGGCAATCTTACCTACAACTTCAGTCTCTTGGGCTCAAAGATGGGGGCCAGAGCCCTCCCCACTCTTAAGTTTGCTCAGTTATTTACTTGGAACAGTGGGAAGATAAATCCAGTTCACAAACCTACTGGCAACTCTTTTGTTTGCAGTGACTGCTGAGGCCCTTGCAGCTCTGAGACCACAGTTCATGCCCCCATCCTCACTGCCTGACACTCGGAAGGTGTCTGAGAGGAACTTCCTCACTTCTGCCTGGGCGAAAAACCTGGGCCAAAGCCAAATTTTTCCACATGGCACCCAAAGGCTGCTACGCCACGCTCCCCAAGCCACCAGCCCAACTCCCCACAGCAACCCTCAGTCCACAGTTCACAGGCCTGCTGCTAAGGAGGCCCTTCTTATCTTTCTGCCCATCTGAACACCAGCCCCAGTTCAGGGTCCATTCCAGAGCCTTCTCTGGCTGTTGGCATCAGAACATACACTGTATATGTGCCTGTCTGTGTGCTTTTCACCTGTGGTAGCCCCTGTGCCTGGCACTGGGTAGGGCACAGATGTAAATGCCAGAGAGAGAGATGTGTGTGTATAAAGGGGAGAGGCAGGAAGAGATGGAATTTAAAAAACCCAACCTACTTCTTCAATCTCCAGTGATTTTCCCCACATTCCCAATACTGCCACCTGGGGCTCTGGGCCCCATTCTGTGTTTTCCTGTCTCATTTATGACTGGGGTGTCCTTCAAGGTTGACATCTCAATTTTTATTTAGGACACCTCACTTTTTCTCCCAGGATCTCCACTGCAGTATGTCTCATGTGACAGGGATCTCTTTCTACTTGCAAACTACTGGTCAAGCCCATGGGCTTTGGAGTCAGACATGCCTAAGTTGGAATCCCGGCTCCCTTATGTACTAGCTGTGACCTCAGGCAGGCTACTTACCCTCTGAATCTGCCTGTCATAATAAAGTGGAGGTCACACTACCCATACCCACTAGATAGCTTTGAGCGTTATATATGCAAATAAAGGACTAGCAGAGTACCTAACACATGGCAGGCATAAATCGATAGTTTCTTCTCATGATTGTAATTATGGTGTTCCTTGTCTAAAATCTGCGTAGACTATGTGGTCCTAGAGGACACATCGCTACAGTACAGCTTATCACCCTGATAAGCTATGTACCTCTGACCTCAGGCTTTCAGGGTGCGGTGGGGAGGGGGTGGTGGTGAATAGCTAGCTGTAGAGGCTTCAGGACCTTTGCTTCAACCCTACCAGTTTCTCTTTTTTTCCCTGTTTCGCATATTGAGGTTCCACATAAGATCTCCCATAACAAAAGGGCCCAGCTGCTAAAACAAAGTTTGAAAGTACCTGGTTTTGAAGCTAATCGGGCCCTCAGTGAATCTTATTGGAGGTGAGGGGGGACACAGAAAAGGGACACAGGCGTGATGAAAGAATCCTCTCAGAGACCAGCAGCTGGCCAGTGGGGCAGGGCTGAAAGCCCCACACTCACCGCTTTATAGTCAGAATGCGTTGTATAAAGGCTGCAGGGAGAGGGGCAAAGGCCAGGTCTTGGGAAGGAAAGGGCTCCCTGTCTCTACTGTTTGTTGGGTCCAGCCACTTCCCTCACCAGACTCACTGCCCCGGGGGTGAGCCCTCCAGGCGGTCAAGGGCAGGCAGGAGATGGGGCAGTGAGGGGAGTATATGTTCTTGGGGTACAGAATCCTTGACTTCAGAGTCCAAAGGCCCTGGGCCAATCACCAGGAAGCTGTGCATGCCTACAGCCCGTGCCCCCCTGTAATCACAGTGGTAACTGTCCCCAATATGGGCTGCCGCTGCCGGTTCCACGTGAGCAAGCCGCAAGGCCTCACGGAAAATGCGGGGGTCCGGCTTGGGCCAGCCAGTAGCCTCGGAGGTCAGCACAAAGTCGAAGTGTTCTCGTAGGCCAAGACCCACCAGGATGTCCTCCAGTCGCCGGTCAAAGTTGGAGACTACTGCCAGTCTTAGCCCTCGCTTTCGGCACCCCTTCAGGGTGGCCTCAGCCCCCTCCAACATCTGCCAGGTGCAGGGGCTGCTGAAGTCCTTGTACAGCTGGTCAGCGATAGAGGCCACAGCCTGGGCATCCCGGATACCTGCCAGGTGGAAAGTCTGCAGGACCACATCCAGCCACCACTGGCGGGAGGTGAGGCCGTGGCTCAGGCCATAGTTGGGGAAGCTGTGGCTCTGAGCCTTGTACGCCTGTCTGAAGGCTTGTCCCAGGGCCGCAGCCTCCACCTCCAGCCCATGGGCCTGGGCCTTGGAGGCATATTCCTCTCCAATGGGGCGGCGGACTCTGAGCAGCGTGTCCTTCACGTCCCACGTCAGCAGTCGCAGCTGTAGCCGGTGTGCCATGGGTCTGTAGGAGGGAGCCAAATCTACCCCAGCTCCAACTAAGGTCCCAAGGGCCAAGGGGAAACCGACCTGGAGAAGACCACCCTGCTTCTCTTTCCAGGACCCTTGGGTCAGATTTGCTGGGACTTGGGTAATGTCTTCACAGCAGAAGATCCTGGAATGAGAAGGCAGGTGAAGTGGAAGTTCAGTCTTTAGAGTCATACAGACTGGGTTCAAATTCTGGCCCTGGCAACCCTAGGAGTGTCGCTCTTTGAAGCCCTGTCTCCTCATGTATGAGAGGGGCGCAATGACCCAATCTCACAAGGTTGTTGGACTAAATGAGATCATCTGTTCATTTCACAACAAATTTCTGAGCACCTATTAGGTGCTAGATGCTGGGAACGGTACAGGTTTCCAGCCCTCATGGCATTTGCAGGCATTAAATAATAAGGGATACAGATATTAGACAAAGAACTACACAAACACGGGTAATGAAGACAGCATGAACCATGAGGTTATAAATCCAGGGACTGGATCTAGTCTTCCTTGGGGAACTTCCTAGGCAAGTGAAGTTTCAGTGGGGATCTGAAGAATGGCTACAAGGGAAAAGGAGGTGGTTAAGTGTTTCTGGCATTGGAAGCAGCAAGTGTATAGGCCCTGAGGCAGGGCAAGGAGTCTGGGGCTTTGGGTAGACAGGGACCAACTCGGGCAGGGCTTTGTAGGTCAAGGTAAGGAAACGATCACAATTGCTATTCCTATTGTTAGCGATGCCAAAGACAGAAACTCGCCTATGGTCACAGTGGGTCAAGCAGCACAGCCAGGACTAGAACCCAAACTTCTAAACTCGGGCCAGCGCTCCTTCCACTGCTTAGACATATTTGAATTTTTTTAAAAATCTGATTTTGGTAAACCTGTACAGCACAGGACAAAGGGCAGGACAAAGCAGCCTGATCCTACCTATCCCTAAGCCTCTCTGAGCCCCAGCTTCATCTTTACTGGAGGTAATAACATCTGCCTGGGTGGACAACCAGTGAAAGGATTAGTGACTTCATGCACAGAAATCAAATTCCTCAGCCTGCTGTCCAGAGGCTGGATGCAGCTTTTCACCCCAGCGTTGATTCAGGCTTCCAGTAAAAACCCAAGGGGCCAGAGTAGAGTGCAGCCGCGTGCTTGCAGAGGGAGGGAAGTGACTGGTGTATCCGGGGACATGTCTTAGGAGAAGTTGGTCAAGAAAATGAATTTAAGTCTGTCTAGAACTTAGAGGGACCCACCCAAAGACCCTCTCACTTTGTAGGTGGAGAGATGGAGGCCCAGTGAGGGGCAGAACTCGCCCAAAGTCATGCAGGGAGCCACTGGCACAGCTAAGACTAGGACAAAAGGCTCTGGCTCCCGACCCAACGTATTTTCCATTTCTGGAAGCCGGAGCTGGGGACTCTAGGCTACCGGCCTGAACTGCTCACCCTTCCTCCCTACCTCCAGGGCTTGGTGGCGGCGAAGTCCAGGTAAGTCTGCCGTTAGAGCGAAACCTCTACAGCGTGACCTGGGGCAGGAGGGTCTTAGGGACTCTGGTCGCAGCTGCGGCCGCAATCCTGGGTACCCCTTCTCAGCTCCAGCGCGCTCTGACCGCTCCGCCCAACCCCGGGGCCTAGGACCCACCTGCCTCGCAGGGAAGCCGATCAAGAAGGAATCTGCAGCCGCCCGCCAGCTCAAGAGACGAAAGCTGATGTCTCACGGTCCCACGGAGCTACAATCCGCCCCTCGCTAGGCCCTTCGCTGCTCCCTCCTCGCCTGGGCTCCCGCCTCCCGCCGGCTCCGCCCCCTACGCCGCTTCTCTCTGCCGCCCTCCGCACCCTCCTTCCGCAGCCTCCGTACCTTGACTTCGCTCTTCCCCGCCCCTACCCGTCTCCGGCGCCCTCTGTCACCGTGCTCCTTGGCCCGCTCCCCGCCTTTTCGTGAGACACCCTCTCGGTTCCCTATCCCGCGCCCTTCCACCCCTCACCTCGCTTCTCACGGTCACCTTGCACCCTTTCCGTCTCCCGCCTTAACCCCCTTTCTGCCCTCTCTCCGCTCTCCCTTTCCCTCTTGCAAGCCCCTGCTCCTCCCTTGGGTCCGGGCACTCCTGGGAGGGGCCCAGGCTGACTTGGGAAGAGGGGGATTTGGGTCCCGGCCTGGCTTACTGAATGCTGTGTGGACTTGGGCAAGGCAATGCCCCTCTCTGGTGAGAGTCTTCAGTCGGTATCTGGAGGGAAGTGCTTTCAGTTGGAAACTTGTCTAACCCAAGACAATTTGCTGAGAGGCTAGAGTGCTCTGCAGTAAAACCTAGCGGGGTTTTTTGTTTGTTTGTTTGTTTTCTGATAAAAGTCAAAAAATATTCATGCTCATCTCAAAAATATTTAAAAACACAAAGTGTACAAAGTAAAAACCAAAAGCCCAACCTTATTCATTAAGTACTCCCTGAGCGTCTGTCTTCTGCTGTGTCTGACGCTGTGCTTCATCGAGGAAACAGTGGGAAACAAAAAGTTTCTGCCTTCATGGAACATTGGAGGAGCAGACACAAATCAAGGAAATTAACAAGATTTCAGATAGTGATGAGTGCTATGGAGGCAATAAAATAATGGTTTCATGAACACTGGCAGCGGGTCTCTTTGGATGAGGTGGTTAGGGGAGGAGCAAAGATCTGAATGGCAGTCAGGTGTAGATTAAGGGACAAGGAACTGGCAAGTGCAAAGGTGCTGGGGGCCTAACCTGCTTCCTGAGCAAGGGCAGTGGCCTTGGGGGCGGGGAGGAAAAAGGGGGCCTCCCTGCTCACAACCCAAGGGTTATTGCAGTGGCAGTTTGGGTTATTATGTGATCAGACATTTTTCTGGAGCACATAAACATGCATATAATCCCCCTCCTTTTTTTTTTTTTTTTTTTTTTTTAACAAAACTTCCTCCTCTATTCCAGGGCTGGTCTGTTCACTTCATTTAGAACTGCCTCACCTTCACTGGACTCAGGCCTGGGAGGGAATACAAAGTGCAGAGTCACAGACCTTGGGCCTCAAGGCAGAGCCTGATTCCAGAGACTTACCCGTAAAAATCGTTATGTGTCACAAGCACGATTTCTAGAAGTGAGAGTGGGAAGGGTGATTGGAAGGCCAAAGGTCCATCTGCATTTCACAGAACCCAACAATGTCTGAGATTGTCCACTATTGTCCACTTTTCAGCCACCTAAAACCCAGCCCCTTAGGTTCTACTCCCAGCTCTGCCGTCTGACCCTCTGTGAGCCCTCCATTAAATCCTGTTCCTCTCTGAGCCTCCATCTCACAGTATGCAAACTGGGGGGATTGGACAAAATAACTTCCACTGAAGTCCAGTTTCACTTATACATTAAATTTCCAAGATTGTTAACTTTGCCCATGGAACCCTCAGTTTCTCCTTATATTAATAGAACATGTTTACTTCAGGATCAAACAAGAGCACATGGAAAAACTCTTTGAGAAACAGAAGATGATTCTTTTCTGTTGAAATAATTGAGTCTATTGAGCCATTAGGGTTTTGTCTGATTATGTAAGTATTTCAACCCAGGGCACCCATTGCACAAGGGCCTTATTTCCATTACAATCCATGTGAAAGTGCCCCCTGGAGTTATGGCCCTGATTGAACTGCCCTCTGGATTCCGCCTTTCTATTGAGTAACCTTTTTTAGCAGAGAAAAAGGAGCCTTGTGTGACACAGAAAAGCTAATGACAGGTCCCTGCTATTCTGAAACAAGTTTCTTTCTGATTTGCCAATTCAAAATGGGTACACTTAATGTGTGTAGTGTCTTCCCTAATCAGGTGACAGAACTCCTCGGAGGGTTTCATTGATCTCTTCTGTGTGTCCTGGCCTGGTGATTGCTTCTGGAGACACCTGACATGTCACTACACTGGATATTGGCCTAAATTATTTCTCTTTGAGAAAACAAGTTTCTTACATGAGCACTTTTCCCTTGAGATTCTCACATTGAAAGCATTAAGTAAACCCAGGCTGGGCACACCAGACATATGTCTCTCTCTTTTAAATTTTCATCTACTTATTTAAAAATTAATTTTAATTAAAATATATCACACATAGAGAAAGGTGCAAAGAAGTATAAATGTCCTTGAATTTCTACAAGTTGCAACCAGCACCAAGACCAAGAAATAGAACATTTCCAAAACCCTAGAGCCCCTGTCTGGTCGCTTACCCCCGAAAGGGTAACCACTAGCCAGATTCCTAATTGCATATTGGCTTGTTTTTGAACTGTATAAAAATGGAATACAACATGCACTCTTTTACCTTCTTTTGCTCAAAATTTTATTTGTAAGATTCATTCATGTTGCTATGTGTAGTTGTAGGTCATTGTCATACCTGTAATATTCCATTATATGAATATAGCACATTTTACTGTTGATATAGACATTTGGGTTATCTCCAGTTTTTGGTTACTACAAATATTAGAAAATGTTGCTATGAACATTCTCAAATATGTACTTTAGTGAGCATATGTACACATTTCTGTTAGGTAAAGTCCTAGATGTGAAATCACTAGGCCAAAAGGTATGCAGTTAGTAGATGGGGCTAATTTTCTGAAGTGGTTGTACTAGTAATATCTGAGAGTACCAGTTGCTCCATATTCTCAACAATTGGCATTTCTACCTTTTAAAAACATTAGGCGTTCTGATGGATGTATGGTGCTATGTATCTCATTGTGGTTTTAACTTGAATTTCTCTGTTGACAAATGAAGGTAACACTTTTTCATATACGTATTGGCCATTTTCATTTATTTGCACAAAAACATGGAAATATGCTTGTTTTATATATATATAATGCATGAATATAAAAATGAATTTGAACTTAAGATAACACATGAAAAGCTAAAATCTCTCTAAAATCAATCCCTCACTCCCACTCCTATGCAATTCCTTCTGTTTTGAACACTGGGCTTGGACGTAGACCTGAATCTTAGCATTGGTCTGCCCTTGGCTTGTGTGAGTTTGGACAAGTCCCCTCTCTGGGTCTCCCATCTCCAGTGACCTCTTTGCTATTCTGTCCATTGTTTTTGTGATTATAAGAAAATTCATGTGATGGGGACAGCCATTTGCCCCAATATCTATTCTCTCCATCTTCTTTAGCACTTGAACCCCTAAGTTTTAGCTGAGCACATGGATGGCTCGCTAGACTATTTTCCAGTCTTGCTTACACTACTAGGTGTGGCCATATGACTAAGTTCAGACAAGGGCAGGTGCACAGAAGTAATGCATGTAGCTTTTGGGTTATGCCTTTGTAAAGAAGGGTCATGCCCTCCACTTGCCCCTCTCTTTTTCCTGCTGGCTGAAAAGAGGACCTGATGGTGGAAACTGGACCTGCCATTTTTGGTCACAAGATGTGCTGATTTGATGACAGAACGAGTCAGGAGCCAAGACTTCTCACACCATGTAGTTTACATAGCTCTGGACTGCTCAGAAAATTTCATCTTGAGCTATCGTTATTTTGACGATTGTTATATCTACTGAACTTGAAGCCTGACTAATATAGAGCAACTGGGGAATGACTTTAAATTGGGTGTCAGGAGAGGTTATTTTGAGGAAGGGACACTTAAGCCAAGTTCTTAACAATAAAAAGGAGACAGCCATACAGACTTTGGAGTAAAGCATTTCCAGGCAAAGGAGACCACTGGTACAAAAGCTCTGAGACCTCACCAGTATTCGGTGTGATGACAGAGACTATGTCAATCATAGTGCTACATCTCCTATGCCATTGTTTACAGTGACTGAGCGAGCCAGCCATATGTTCTGAGCAGGGCCAATCAGACCTCCAGAGATTTGCTATGTGAATGATGGGACATAAAGGATCTTTATCTGGGATTGTGAGTCTAAAGGACCAGCTAAGGACCATATTGCTGTTAAGTGGCAAAAGCCATTTTAGAATAAAGCTAAACTGAGGCAGAGAGCTAGGAAGGGACAAAGGCCTCCATGAGAGCCTTTGATCCTAGATCTAGCCACACCTGACCTAATTACAAACCAGTTATGAAAACCAATCATTTCCTTTTTTACTGTTTAGTTTGTCACTTTCAACCAAGAGTACCCAGAACAATATAGAGTATGAGGTGCTGCAAATCACAGGCCCTAACATGTGGAATTGGCAGAGTCCACATGGGGTATGGAGCAGGTCAGGATTTCTCTTCTAGCTGGGAAATTGGCTGGTTAAAATGCCTGTTGCTTTTTGGCACCCCCAACCATATGCCCACTGAGCTTGTAGTTCTAAGGATCTTTGTAAAGCAAAAAGTGAGGATGATGGAATGTGTCGGCTATTTGGTATGACTTTCAGGAAGGTCCTACCAGAAAAAGACAAGTTCAAGTCCAAGATGGCACATCTGAGAAACGGGAAAACATCTGAAGAAAGGTCCCTTAGTGCTCACTAATTAGCTGTGATGCCTGGAAGCCTGAGAATAATATGCCATGCCGATGGTAGAGGCTGAGTTCTCTACCCAGGGATAAAATTACTACTAGCAAGAGCAGGGAACACAGCAGGAGACAGAGCTGTGCAGGAGCCAGATTGCCCCAGGACCACCCAAACCCCTCCAGCTACCTGCCTGGTCATTATTGCCTCTATAGATAAAGCAAGGAGTTGCTGAAGAGGACACCAGGCTGGCACCCCAAGAGACAAGTCTTGACTCTAGAGGATGCCATTCACATAAACCATGATGCCTGAAGGCAACTTAATCCCTCAGTCTGGCCCACTACTGGAGTTAATAATAGCATTGTGTTAGACCCATAATTTTGCTGTTTATTGGGAGGTGGTATGGTATAATGGTTAAGGTTAGAGGCCTTGGAATTTGGCTATATGGGTTGAAATCTCAGCTCTGCTGATTTTGGTAACTGGAGTTCTAGACCCAGCACTGCCACAAACTTTCGAGTGGCCTTGGGTGAGACATACAATCTTTCTAGATATAGCTTCCTCATTCAAATCCCCTCCACCCTGACCCTCTTCCAAGCTTCTCTATCTCAGTAAATGGCCCATCAGTTACCCAGGAGCTCAAGCCAAGTCTGTCCTTCCTATCTAATCTACCTCCTATATCCATTCCTTCTCCATCCTGTCACTACTGCAGTCCAGGTCACGAAATTTCTCATTTGCTACAGTGCTGTCAAAATAGTTTTATAAAATGCAAACCAGAGTGAGTCATCCCCCAGCTTAAACGGCTTCAACTGGCTTTCCTTCCTCTTGGAATAAAGTTTGAGAAAGCTGGCATGGCTTTTGAGCCCCTGCATGGTTTGTCCCTGGTGTCTTCACTCAGTTCAGGCCACTTCTTCCTTGGCCTTTCTCTGTGCTTCAGCCCCAGGATTCCCTCTGCCAGGAATGCTCTTCCCCGGACATGTTTTTGCTTAGTGGCTCATCTTTCAGGTCTAGGTTGTCAGTCCCTCAGGGAAGCATTTTCTGATCCTTCAAATTAGGTCAGGTCCTGGAAACCTTCATAGCACCTGTCATGTCACTGGTGACATGTGTGCCACCTGGTTCCCAGGGACACTCATTCCACTTAATGTTGTTACCCCTTGGTAGGGGGTCTGGATACAGAGAGTTGTTTGCTTCCTATGTCTCTCTGCATCTAGAACAGGGTCAGCACTTGTACTTGCTTGGCAATGATGAATCTGCGATACCCTTGAAGAACCTTCTCTTTCACACTAGTCATTTTAACCAGAAATGAGCTCAGAGACTAGGGGCTACGACACAGGAAGCCAGGAAGCTAAGACAGTCACAGGTTCTGGTCTGAGCTAAGCCCCAAGGCCCATCAATGGCTCATCTCCAATGAGTGCTTCGGGCCCCTAGGTGGTATGTCCAGACTTAAGCTCCCTAGAAGCTTTGTGACTCTTCAAGCCCTGATTTTGGCTGGCCACTTCCTATTGGCTGAGGTTAGGTCTTCAGTTAAGTTGGCCACAGCTCCAGGGAGGACTACCAGGAGTCAGAGGAGGCTGGTCTGACTGTAGGAGCTGCCAGTTTATAATTCTAAATTTTAAAATGGGTTGTATTGTTTTATGGTCTAAATTGAACTTGCTTTGGGCCTGGAGGTGAGATTCCCTGTCACTTTGCAGATGGGCGGGTGGACTTGCAAACAGGCCCCTCCTTAGCTGGGCCTTAACTTAAGCTAGAGGGAAACATTATGTCCTGTCAGTCTCAGAAGAAAATTGAAACCATTCAACCAGTTGCTCAAGTCAGAAACCAGGGAAGGCATCCTTATCTCCTCTTACTGCCTCATCTTTGACACCCCCCGCCCCCACGATTTAAAGCATCAGCAAGATCCGCTACTTCTGTCTCCAAAATGTATCCTGAATACATTTGCTTCCTCCTATCTCCACTGCCACCATCATGGTCTGGGCCACCACCATTGTTCTCTGGGGTCTGCAGCAGCCTCCCAACCAGGCTCTCTCTTATCCTTCCATTTTCCCCACAGCAGCAGGATATGGGAAACTGGACCATACATAACTGGTTAAGATCCTTCAGATGGCTTTGTGTCAGATGCAAAATAAAATCCAAGCTTCCTAAAAGGTGCAGGATCTACCTTTCTAGCCTCCAGTCCTCTTTACCCTGCCAAGCTCCCCTCACTGCAGGATCTTTGCACACTCCACGTCACTCATGCAGCTTCTGCTCTCTGAAGGCTCTTTCCTTGTCAACCTCAGGGAAGGCTTTTCAACTGCCCTCTCAAGAGAGGCCTCCTCATCTGTTATCCTGTCTCATACCCTTTCTTTCCTTCAAAGCACTTAATACAATTTGTAACTGCTTTATCTGTTTTCTTGTTGTCGTCTGTCTCCCCCATTCTCCTTGTATAGATTCCATGCAGAGAGACAAGCTGAGGTCTGTCCTGCTAGATGCTCAATAAGTACACAGCACCGTGCCTGGACACAGAGCACACGTTCTCAAAAAATATCTCTTTAATAAAAAACCTTTTTGATGGCGACATCTCCAACAGTCAGGAACTCTCTTTGCCTCTGAATTTTGATCCTCGGGCAATGTTTCTGCTTGTTAATGAGTAATTATCTTCCGGGTGTATGGCTCAGGGCAGAACAGGAGATCTCAGGCAGCCTGACAACCCCTGGCCTGTGTGGGAATCATCTTTCAGTGGAATCACAGCAGATCTCAACTCTAAACCCAGGGATGTCAGTCTAGGCCTCAGTCTCAGCGCCCAGCAATGCTGCCAGAGGGCTCGGGCTTTCCAGAGCTTCTGAGGATCCACGATACAACAGCTTCCTCTTCCCCTAATGCTCCAAGCCCTTCTCCCAGGCTCCACTGAGCCTGTGCCAACACTCCTGGGAACTTTCAAGTTGAAGCCACACCAGAGGAAGGAGCTGGAGTGACAGAGGTAGCCTCAGAGCCAACCCAGGGGAGCGTGGGGATGCTGGGGGAGCCCATGCAGATGTGGCTGTTGAGTGGTAAGATTTGGTATGCTGGCAGAAAACACCCAGCAGTGCTGGGCACCCGCCAGCATGTGAGCATGAAGAGAGAAAGATGGCAAAGTTCTAAAAGCAGGATTTACTTTGGTTTTCACTTCTCCAAGGTCCCTGGACCTTTTTAAAGTTCTAGTTCTTGGTTATTGCACACTCTGTCTGTCATTCCTTCAGCCACTGCAATAGCTGAGGCGTGTAGTAGGTGATGATGATGTCGGCACCTGTGTGGGGAGAGAAGCAGGGGAGGGGCAGGGCATCAGCTCTGGGCACGCTTCCTGGGAGCTGAGGGCCAGTGAGGGAAGAAGGCTACTGTGAAAAGGCAGTCGGTGGGTGACATAAGACTGAGCCCAACTCTTGTTGGTTCTAACTCTGTATGAACTGTGGGCAAGTCATTTTCTCTGTGTGGGCTTCAGCTGGGGAAATAGGTAAGCCGTAAGTTCCCTTCCCACCAGCAAAACCAGCTCCCAATTATGGAGTGATAAGCATATGCCAATTCCATATATCTCTCATTAAATCCACACAACAACCATGGACCAGGTATCTTATCCCAATATAGGTACTGAGGTTCGGAGAAGTGGCTAGGCCAAGGTCTCAAAAGCAAAAAAGGGGGCTCTGCTTTCTTCACTGTTCCATGTTCTGTTCTAGTTCCATGTCTCTTCCTCAGCCTGTGTCTGTTTAGATCCCTGGTATTTCTAGGCCTAAGACTCCAGGCTGTCTCCCGACTTCAATTCCTTCTCTGAATGACGTACCTATCAGTCCATGTGGCACGGGTCAAAAACCCCACCTCGGCCAGCTTACCTGCCCTGCGGAAGGCAGTCATGGCCTCCAGTACAGCAGCCTTGAGATCGAATGCCCCGGCCTGGGCTCCGTGCCACAGCATAGCAAACTCTCCAGAAACATGGTACACGGCGAGAGGAAGCTCAGGGTGCTGCAGAGAAGCAGCAGTAGGCAAAAGTGGGGGGTGGGTGTGCCTCTGGGAGTGTCCCTTCCTCTCCGCCCAATCTGTGACCATCTTGAGCCCCATACTTTGAGTAACTGATGCTGGCAGCCTGGCCCATTCTTGAACTGTTAGAGCAGAGCTGTTAAAGGCTCCTGCCCACTGGTGGTTCCTGGGCAGGGGCACGGAGGGGAGGATTCCTATTTAGGGGCAGATTGCTTCCAACTCTGAGATTCTGCAGTCCCTTAATCTAAGGTCCCAGAGTCTATGGACACACCCTCTCAACTCCCTGAGTCCCCCTTTGTCTCTGCTGTGCTTACCTTGTCCTTCACCTCCCGCACAATGTCCAGGTAGGGCATCCCCGGCTTTACCATGAGCATGTCAGCTCCTTCCCGCACATCCCGGTCCTAAGGGATGAGGTATGATGTGAGCAGTACCTGGGAGGTGAGGTGAGAGGGAGACAAGCTGGGTGGGGCTCAAGCTCTGGTCACTCACCACGGCTCGGAGGGCCAAGCCTCGTGCTCCGGGTGGCAGCTGGTAGCAACGCCGGTCTCCAAAAGCTGGGCTTGATTGAGCCGCATCCCTGGAAGCAGAGACATCGAGGTAAGCTCCAGCTTTGGGCTAACAGGTCAAGGATTTAACAGAAGACCCCCACCAGTCCCCACTCACCGGAAAGGTCCATAGAAACAAGAAGCAAATTTGGCACTATAGCTCATCACTGATACCTATGAGGAGACAATGAAGGTCGAGGCTCAGCTGGCCCTTTCCAGATGCCCCTAAGGGATGTGGCAGGAAAAGGACCCAGGATGGGAACTAGAGTGCCTGCGTTCTAGCCCCTTTGGAGCTCTGGGCCTTGATTTCCCCAACCGAGGTACAGAGGTTGAGAGAGATCCCAAAGGCCTTTCCAGTGCTGTCTTCAGTTCTGTGATTCTTGGCAGATACAGGGGCGGGGCTGGTCCAGGCTCTCTCACCTCCCCAACTCCCCTCCCCGCACTCCCCCGCCCCTACCCTGTTGCCAAATCCATGTGCCATCAGAGCCTCCTTGATGGCTTCCACGCGTCCATCCATCATGTCCGACGGGGCTACCACCTGACATCCTAAGGGGCAGAGGGTGGCCTTCAGAACTCTGGGGCCCTCCTATCCACTCTGCCACCTCCCTGGCCCAGAGGTGCTCATCCCTGCTGGTGTCTCACTCACCTGCCTTGGCATAGGCCAGTGCCACCTCTGCCAGCCGCTGCCGGCTCTCCTCAGCCCGGAAAACCCCATTTTCACTCAGAAGCCCTGTGGGTCAGACAGCTGGGTTTTAGGGAGCATGTTAGGCCCTGGCCTGTCCCTGCCATGGGGAGAACTGGGAAGTGGGAGTGCAGGTGGCAGGAGGGAACTCACCGCAGTGACCATGGGAGGTGTAGGGGCACAGGCAGACATCACAGGCCACCAGGAGGCTGGGGAAGGTCTTGCGCAACAGACAGATTGCCCTGATAGCTGGGGAGTCGTCCGCGTCGGCTGCAGAGCCCCGCTCATCCTAGTGGCAGGGGAAGGACAAAGCAGTGTCTCTGTCACATGAAGCCTTCGGGAGGCACAACAGAGCACAGCTCTAGCCCTCTCCTTTTATGACCTCAGATTCTGGACGAGGAGGCACAGTGAGGACTGCCCCCATTCTGCAAAGGGGACTCGACTTGTCCAGTCAGGGTGTCATAGCCCTACTTGGTTTCCTGACCCTACATGGGTGCTGTCAAAACAGCAGGTGCCATGTCCATTCACTTGTGGCTGCAAGGCCAGCACAAGACTAGAATGAAGGTGTGGTCACTGTGGAACCTTAGCTCGCCCTCACCCAACCTCCCCATCCACTCCCCTCTAACTCATCCTCCGATTCTTCACCTTGGGAACGCTGCTGGGGACTCCAAATACCAGGACACAGCGCAGGCCCTCTTCCACCAGGGGCCTCAGCATCTCTTCTAGCCGGTTCACACCATACCTGCAGGTGGGGTGGAGGGACTGAAGTGAGGTGGATCCCAGGCAAGGGCCCACCCCATTCTGCCATACTGGGTCTCTGTGAAGAGCCAAGCTGGACATGGCACCAGG